GGGGTTTTTTTTACTTCCATCACAAATAAATACACGGTTTGCTGCACAAGTCTCTTCGATTGAGAAGAAATCATAAGTTTTTTTGGTTGTTTTTTTGGGGGGGGGGTCTTTTTTTTTTACTATCTTTTTTTTCTGAAAGGAGCTCGTGATAAACCCCTCATGCCCCCACCACCCCTACACACACAGATTCAGAAAACATATTTTCAAACACATCTTTCATTAACCGGATAGTGTAAGCAAATTCCTACCTGCAGATGATGCACGTCATCTTGTCGCTTTACGGCCTGATATTTTTTTTCTTTTTTTTTGGAGGGGGGGGGGGGGGGGGGGGGGGGGGGTCCAAGGGCCCAAAAGCGAGAAACATAGAAATCGATATATGCCCCTCTTTTACATCCTAAAGCACGACTTTGGCTCTGTTGTGAGGCGTATAAGCCATTCCCTTGTCTACAAATGTTTCATGCGTGCTTCTTGGTTATAGTGCTTATAGGGTCTAAAGGTTGTCTTGATTGCCCAAAAAAGCCAAGCCATCCTTGCCTGTTTGGCCATTTGCGTTTGTCATTTGCGACCTACTGGATTAAAGCGTGCCTTCGCGTACACACACATGTAAACCCTCCCCGGGCTTGGCGTGCGTCTAAAACACGGCAGCGGAGAGAACGGCGAGTTAGTATTTATAGCGAAACTGTGTACATCCACAGCGGTCACACGTGCAGCAGCCGCTTCTCTGCACTCCTGCTGAAGTTGACATGTTAACACTCACTGGCTGCTATATTTAGCCCAGCCTCACAGTGCTGTTACTATTCCCAGCATTGTACATGAGGGGGCGGACGGTGCGGGCTTTTTTTCTAAAGGGAAGAAAAAGTTCCCTTCTCACAAGTGATTTATTTTTGCACGCACATTCCGGCGTGCTTTCTGCCACTGACACCTTATTAATTCAGGGACGCTGCAGTTAGGGCTGTCACGATTCCAATAATAAAGGGCGATGAGATAAAAGATTTAAGATTTAAGAAGAAAAATATGTGTGATTGAAAAAAAAAAAGGCAACAGCAATGAAAGTGTAGTCTGCAGGTGACAGCTGAAAGAATCAAACTACACTTTTATTCTGGATGAGCACACTGTTGTTAAACTCACACCTTCTACACTTTGAAAAGACACATAATTTTGTCCTCTAAATTCGAGCAGTTCCACGACAATTTAGTCAAAATCTGCTGTCACAGAGCAAAAATAATTGAATAAATAAAAAAAGTTGCTGCAAGCAAAGCTTCTTTTAGGTGCAGTTTGAGGTAAATCTTACACATTGTGTTTTCAGCATCGAAGACAACTTCTTCAGGCTCCATCTACGCCCAGAGAGCTTCAGCACCTTGGACAGCTCTCGTTAGGCTCTTAAAACACACAGACATTCATGAGGGCAGGGAAGGGTGAAAATCCAGGAACGGTCATCTGTGGTGGATATTTCTTTACATTAAAGAGTTAACCTAATGATGCTTGATGCCAAAATTGTGGAGCACTTAAGTTTATTACTTCAGGGGATTTCTCATAGATACCTTTGGTTGGTCATTCTTAATGTCTTAATGTTCTTACCCCCGCAAAAATCCCCTTCACTCATATTCCCATTCTAACTTCTGTATTTAAACAGCACCCCTATAAATTAAATTTAGAGTTCATGTGAGGCTTTTCATGCTGTTGGGTATAGAGAGGACACTTGAATATTAGAATAGATAGAGGAAAAAACCTGATAAACTGCTTTACTTCCAAGAAGCAGTTTTCCTGTCTACTGCTCTCCCTCATGTCTGTTCCTTAACTTCAGAGGCAGCTGCTGCAGTTTATACTCAAACTTTAAATTCTCTTTTTTCATGCATGCACTCCTGAAAAAATAATCACAAGCAAAATTCCACTGCAGTCAATCACAATTCTGCATCGTATAGTGTACATAAGTGGAGCTTGGAGGACAAACAAGGAGCTTGTTAAAAGTCATGATACAAGGTGCCACGACACAACCTTGTACATTTGTCAGAACTGCAACAATTAAATGTGCACAATACACAAAGTCATATATGCTCATAGCAGTAAACAATAAAATACACGGAAGAAGCTTAACTGCAGTATGTTTACCAACACACACCCATTTATGACAGGTGTAGATTTGGTCTCAGCTCCGTTGAGGTATGAAGGCCTTACTTGATCACCCCACCAACAACACCTCCTCTCAAAGGTTGTTAATGAAGTGAGGAAACCCATCGAGTTCCACCGAGAGCTTCAAGACTGTTGATTTACCTTTACTTCTACTCTCACATGGGTTCGTACAGTCGCTCCTTCCCTCTCTCTTTCTCTCTGAGGGTCGTCTTCGCTTCTTCTCCCGCTGCTGCCACCCACTCCTCCTCCACCACTTGATTATTTTCAGCTCCGTCATTGGTGTCTGTGTGCGTGCGTGTGTGTGCGTGCGTGCCACACAAAACGCATGTGCCAGGCATTTGCTGGCTGGCGGCTGGCAGGCTGGTTTGGGAAATACCTGGTCACGATCAATGAAGGGAGGGTTTTTCTTGGTCTCATAGCGCCCCCTACTGTCCCCAACCAAACTCTGCCCCAACGGCTTACCATAAACATAAACTTAGACCATAAACGCTACACAAAGACAAAAACGGTACAGTAAGAGCAAACAGAAACGATCAGACTATATTTAGTGTAAATATATTTTTTCAAGAAAATAAAAATAATGAAATAAAGAAAGGGAGAAAACGTAAATTACGACGAAATTGTGCTAGCCATTATATCACAGACATTTATGTCGGTTATTCGTGGACCATTAGCAGTTTTCTAGAGTACACCAGCACTCTACATGGCAAGCAATGACCGACACAAACAGACCGGGTGGTAAATAATTCACCTTCAGTCATGACAAAGGGGGCGAAGCTTACGGGGGTAGCAGGGTGGTGGTGAGTGATTTAGGAATATTATTACTTTCTTTGCCCGGATCTCAGTGTTCCTCCATGCGCCTGAACACGAGCAGCAATACAAAGAGAGACAAAAAAGACACCGTGGAAGGTTTAAGTGACTCGTTCGGTGGAATAAAAATAGATCTGGCAACGTTTGGGAGGAAAACCCTGGCCTGGGTCGCCCTCTAGGGGGGAAACTCTGCAAAGACAAGAGACAACCTGTGGACAGGTCTGGTTTGTGTTTAAAATAAGATAAGATGACCTTTATTAGTCCCACAGGTGGGAAATTTGTTTCGTTACAGCAAAAGTGCAATGTTATGTGCAAAGTTATGTAGCAGAAATTAGAAAACACTGGAATGCAATAAAATAAAATACTATATACAATAGAATAAAATAGAATAATATATACAATAGAATACAAATGCTATATACAACTCAGTAAGAAAATACAACGCTTATTTGTTCCTGCAGCAGCTGTGCTGCAGTAAAGCAACCAGAAAGAACATATTAAAAGATGCCACATTTATGTAATGATCACTTTTGAATGCCGGGTCATTCTTTCAGTGTAATTTAAATGTTCCTCTACCTTATACTTGGATCGCATTTCAAGCAGTGAGACAACCTGAATGTTGTGTTGCGCTCCTCTCTTAACCTGTAGGCTTATATGTTCTTGTTTTTAACCGTTCGGACGATTTGATTTTCTCACTGTAAAAAGCTGCCACAGACTATTCAGAAAAATGGAGAGTTTGAGCGCCCCCACTGCTTCAAAACATCCACCTACACACACAGCACACGTGTTTTCACATGAGGACCTGTAGCGCCCACTGAGAGCTTACTCCGTGTGCATGTGTTTGTGTCTTGAATCTTTATTAGAACAAGTTTTGAACGTTTTTTTTTCCTGAACACATTTTAGGACTTGCTTTAAAGTTACTATTAAACTTCAAGAAGCAAGATTGAACACATAAATACATGGTAAAATCTATTTAAGATTAGAAATCACGACAGCCATGCACCAAGTTAGGTTTGCTTTAGAGATGGACTGAGGTAATCCAGTACAGCTTGCCTCGTGTGTTGCTTCAATTACAAGTAAAGCAACGTACAAAACCCTTTATCCTCAAAAATTCAGTCACTGAACTGTGAATCCAAACAACTGACTAGAGGGAGACGGTTAAATGTGTGTTAAAAAATAACATGTACTAAAACACCAGTTTCAATTATATTCAAGGAATAATATTCCTTAATCTTATCACAAGCATGGGTTGTGCAGGAAAGGCAGTCATATCAATGGTGACCACAGTTCCACATTATAAGATGAAGTATTTAGGCAAAAGCCAAATCACAACTCTGGGCTTCAAGGACAAACACGCAGATGAACTGGGGCTATATCAAGCACCAGTAAAGGCTTATAAGTTATTATGTTGAACTGTAAACCAAAGTTTGTAGTTGATCCTGAGACTAAAAATATAAAGCTAAAACTGCACAAGTTGCCCCTTCTTATTACGATGCCTGTGTGCATGTCTCAATGTGCCTAAAAGAAGCACATCCTCCACCACCTGGGTGTTTAAATAAAGTCTGTGTTTAAACAAGGCAGCAACTATTTATATTCCTTTCTATTACTGAGAGCCAAATTCTACCCTTTTCTTCTTCAAAGCTCTGAGACACACACACACACACACACTTACCAGATTGGGGAGGGGAAGACTGATGCAGTCATATAGACAGGGGAGAAGGCACTCATGTGTATTCTATTTGTAGATGCCAGAAATCGTGGGCTAAATTTATCCCGTCTTCACTCTGGTTTGGTACAGATTTACGAGAGCAAACAGAAAAAGGGAAAAGGAAAGACAGGAGGGTAGAAATGCCAAATGGGATGAACAGCTTTGTGAGTGAAAAGGTGGTGGGGCAGAAAGAATGGAAGGAGGAGAATTCAACAAGCTTGGAAAAGGTTTCAAAGTTTGATTCAAGTAGTGCTCTGATAAAAATCTGAAGATTTAGGGTGGAGGTGTTTTGTGTTATCCTGATGTGATACCAAATTTGCAATCTGACAACAAATACAAGAAACCCTTATAGTTCATACTTCCATACAAGTTTATCATAAAAATCCAATGAAACTACTTCATTGATTCATACAAAGTAGCACAATCAGCCAATTGAAATTAAACTCAAATAAAAAAAGAAAACCAAGATTAAATAAAACAGAAACAAAAAGCATTCATTAACATGTTGCAAAACAAGAGGATCATCATCATCTTTTTCTACTACAATCTGACAAAAATATTTATCAGTTACAACTTGGCAGTCTTTTGTTCCACAAAAATACACAGAATAATGTTTAAAACTCGAGGGGCAAAAACACATTTACATTTTTTTTATGACCACACATGAGAAGAATACAGGAAGTAAATGCTGAAGTGGCAAGTAGAAAAGTCTGTTTTCTGATGTTCTGAAGGCAGAATTCCCCTCCCCTCCCCTCCCAAAACAAAGCAAATAAAAATCCTCCGTACAGGTTAAAAAAAATAATAATAATAAAAAAAAAGTTAAGTAGATGAAAAATAGTCCGTGGTGGTGTGGGAAAAAAATCCTGATGTGATGCAGTTCTATGAGCAATATGTACTCTGCGTTTGTGTGTCCGCCTCAGTAGATCCGGCCTCGGCTCCTGTTGCCTCTGCCTCCGAAACCTCTTCCTCGGCCTCCTCTGAAGCCACCACGCTGCTCTAGAGTGAAAAATGTCAAAAACAAGCAGGTTAGTGTCATATTGGACTTCAATCACGTTGTAAAAATGTCTTAACATGAGTGTGGCAATGATCTGATGGGGAGTCACAAACACATTTAAAATGTGCAGTTTTTCTCCAGTAAGCCATCCTTTTACCTAAATGAGATCCTGTTGCCCAACATTGATACGTAAACTGATATTTATTGTCAATGTACTATGAACTTATTTGTACAGTAGTGTAGGTATCTGTAGACAAAGGGCAGGATATTTGGTGGTGGAAATGTTCTGGCTTACATTAGACTGTAGTCAGAGCAGTACTAAGCACTGTCATTGAGCACTCTTTGGCTACATGAACTTCAGATGCAGTATATCTTTTAACTGTATACTTTCTCCAAGTGGTAGTGTACAATCAATATCATGGGGCTACACACAGTTTTGTTTTGGAGGAGTGTCTGGGTAAGTTGCATACTAGTAAATTCTTCACTAGCCAAAGATGTCCACAAAATGACCCACATGTGAATTCCACTCAAGTTAAGGGTTCCAAGATTAACCCAAAGTCTGGGCAGTTATCCAAAGTTATACTGCAGATTCCAGATACAGAAAGGAAATTCTATTTGTTTCCTCTACTATAGCTGTCTGACATAAAATAAATAATGTCAACATGTGACACAACAGTGTAAAAACCCCAAAGTGCCACCAAACACTCACCATAGTTAAAGTTTCCAATGGAGGCGCTGTACTTGCCACTGGGAGGATTGTAGATCTGTCGTGCATCCCTGCGGGACTGAGGAGAGATCTGTTTTTTTGTGCTGCCTCCTGATCCCATCTCCTCAGTTGATGGACGCTTAAGCCTAAAAACAAGAAGAAAGGTATATGAAGCTCCAATTCAGATTCCACACATCAAGCCTCACTGCTACATTACAAGTATTTCTAACATCTCTGACTAGAAGTAACATTAACAAGAAGGAGGAGCTGACTTACGCTACAGCCTCTGCCTTCTGTACAGGTTTCCAGGACAGAGTGACTGTGCTCTTGTATGATGGAGGGTTGTGGAAGAGATCCTGCAATGGAGAAAAAAAAAAAAGAAAGAAAGAAAACAAACCCAACCAATTAGAAGACAGAACACAGCAATCAGCAAATTACATTTTATTCATCTGGTTTATTAACTGACCACAAAATATAAGCAACCTAGTGTGGTTTATTAAATTAGACAGGCTCACGCCTTACCTTGATGAGGACGTTGATGTTGTTTGTGATCTTGAGGGCCACCACTTTGATCTTGTTCTGATTACATAAACACAACTTAGTCAATGATACTTTACAGCAGGGCTGTTGAAAGAACAAAATTACCCTTTTCTGATCTGTCATTGATTGCTTAGTTAACTAGTTCCTAGTATATTAAACAATTACATGTCAGCTGACAGATGTTACCTCTTCAGTCTTTAGAGCATCTCCCGTCTTTCCTTGCAGTGCTACTCGCAGCTGTCTGATGTAAACTTGCAGGCCTCTGGCAAAATACTGTAACCTGTAAAACAGCAAGTACATTTAAATTTATAGTGACTCTATTAATTTAGTCAAAAGCGTGCTGATGATCTACGTCAAACACAACAGACTTGCTAAAATTCACACTTCGTGTAAACCATTTGATTTTATCAACAAACTGAGTTGATTCCTCACCTGATCTTGAAGTCTTTAAGGCGCTCAGAGTCCACTTTGTCAAGAAGGAAGTCTGGCAGCTTCTTGCCCAGCTGGTGGAAGCTGTACAGGAGACACTCTACATAGCTGAACTGTAGTTTGGGTTCCTCGCTTGCCGAATTCTCACCATTCTCCACTTCTTCTGGAGGCAGCGGCATAAACTCCTAAATAAACAAACAAAAAAAAAAGTATGATTAGCGCAGCATTTGTCTGAGAAAGCTCAAACTTTCATGGTGACTTGAAATAAATGAATACAATATTAGACTGTTCCCCATTCAGACACTGGAAACATCTGTTAAAACAACAACTAATGATGCGTATGTATGTATCCATTGTTGCAGCTGAGATTTATACAGTGGTGAAATTCAGAAATGTTACTCAGTCTAAGATAAGTGAGAATTTTAGGAAAAAGCAAACACTGTATTGCTTCAGACATGAAGCAGTGGTGGAAATTATGACACATGCTAACATAATCTGAACGCAACATTAGTGGGGCATCTGGCAAACATCCAAACATTTCAGTGAACAAAATCTAACTAACATTTCAAACAAATGATGTGCCAGCATGTCAGTGTTCTCAGACAACTTTTTAATAAAAGGAGTTTATTTTATTGTTATTTAAGTACATGGGAAGATCATTCCTTTTTTTTTATATTAAACTAGGTATTGAGAATGGTTTAATTCTATTGATATTGGTACTGACGACTACATTTTGGGGATCGTATCGTCACTAAAACAGACCATATCCTTCTGAGAACCAAGAAAAAAAATAAATAAATAAATAATTTCCCCACTTTTTTGTGATTTCCTTTCTCTTTGGAGCTTAAAGAGGCCACCCAAACACATGCGATATCAATGGAAAGCTCCTCTATTTAGTACATCAGGACTAAGCAGGGTAGCTCAAATGAGTCAAAAGATACAGACCAAAAGCAAATATCCAGAGGACTTAACTGAATAGGCTGATTATCAGGAGGATATGGAACAATGTAATCATGGAAAAGGAAAGAGCAAAAACTGACTGACCAGCCTGCAGAAATGTTAACATAAAACAAAAATTTAAAAAAAAATAAGAACGTTTCAGAATCTGAGAGAAACTACTGGTGGACTTGGATGATTCTGATGCATTTCCATGTATTCCTTATTCAGTCCAAGTCTTTCTTACCAGCAGCTTGGTAAACAGCATGTTGAGGTTGGCCTCCAGCTTTTCCATATCTCCACAGAACGGACTCATCTCAGCCAACAGCTTTAGCACCTACACAGAGACAGAGATAGAGAGAGCTTAGCAGATCTCAGTGTAATATGCATCGCTAATGAGAAGCATTGTTACATGGTGCAGACTAATGACCCATTAGCAACATGCATTTGGCTAACACCCCTAACAGGTGGCTGTCATGCTGCCTTTGTTTACTACTACAACCACTCACCAAATGTCAAAAGTTATGAATCTTGACCTCACACCAGTCACCATATTTGTCATGCCAGTCATTGCTGGGCTGAGCTGAATAAATACAACCTAGAAAACTATACTTTGTGTGCACCGCTACTGACCAGCAGAATTTTGGGGGTAGAATTACAGGTTTTCCACCAGAAAAGTCTGAGAGAGTGTTATCTGAATGTGGTTGAGGAAGTTTGTTGTACTCAACATAGTGATATCAATTTGCGCTTGATAGGTGCTCTGTCATCCTTAGAGATCACTGAGAGAGGGACACCCAGCAGGTTGATTTCCTCTTACAAGATATAAATACTGACAATAAACAACTGTATTAATATTAAACTAATTTCACAACATCCACATACAACTACATAAGAGTGAGCGTGATACACTAACCAGTATTACATTTTAAACTCACTTCAGGATCACGCATTTACATTTAAAGGTACTCACTTCCAACTGAATGTCCAACTCAGCCACAGGACTTGTCAGGGCGCTGAGGTTTGGCAGGACGTGTTCACAGAAGTAGGTTACAAAACGTGTGGAATGGACATTTTTCTACAAGAGACAAAAAACAAAACAAAAACATGACTAATTATATAAAGTAACATAACTCAAAGTAAAAGTACATTTTAACTGAATAGACCATTGATTGATTTTAACACCTCTGCTTTAAAGTGCATAAGTTGTACTTACAGAGAACAGTGGTAGGGCCTGGCGTGTGCACTGCAGCAGGCGGTCCACAGTGTCAGGGTCAGCTGGGTTGAGGGCCTGCTCCAGGAAAGCTTGCTCCACCACCAGCTCCACCAGCTGCTGCCTCCCATTTACAGTCTGCAGTACCCGTAGACCCGACACTACACGCATCAACAGCACAAACTCCTCTCCTGTCACATCCTCCATCACCTGCAGAGAAGAGAAACAACTGCTCAGAATGTGTTCTTATCTTGTTATGCAAAAATGTTCATTTGTGACTTGTTGCAACTTGTCAATTTTTTTTCCCCGTACAGCCAACCTAAATTTGGTCAACAAAGATTTTTTTGCAATGCTAAATGTATGGTCCAATACCTACTGGACAGCTATACATGCCAACGAAGGACTGGGGCTGGGCCATATCATACCGTTCACGTTAATACCGGTATAATGTTGGGCAACGATAAGAAAATGAAATATTGCGATAGAATATGGGTAAAACGCGCATGAGCAGTGCCTTTGTTTTCATACACACATGGCGGAAAAAGCATGGCGGCGATGGAGAATGAGAAGGGTGAAAGCGGATTGTTGAATGAAACGGATGAACCAGAATTGGTTTGTAAAAATGCTGCAACTTCAGTGGTGTGGAACTGGTTTAGCTTTCGTCCATCAGATACACGACAAAGCACTATTTTTGGTAGAGCATGTTAGCGGGCCGTCGTTATTACCGTGTTTTTTGGAAGATACGGCGCACTCAAAATTGGTCCTTTGATTTACATTTAAAAAAAAAAAAAAAAAAAACCAGCTGCTTGTTTACGCGTTTACTCGCCCTTCTCTACGAAGGACCACTAAGGGTAGCTCAGTTTCGATGAAAGTAGCCAATAGGCAAGTGAGAGAGACTCACCTCTGCTTTTTAAGGTCATACCCAAAACAACTGCACTTAAATGGATTAAGCAAGGGTTGAGGGATTCACATCGTCACAGGTTAGTCGATGTCAGTAATTAACAAAACAAAGACAAGATCATCAGGCACACCCAAAACAATCAGCACTCTATAGACACCCCTAGTCTAGACAGCCACGTGTCTTCTCATGTAAATTACCCTTGTTACATTCAAACACAGAGCAACTTAAACGATCACTCGTTAATCAGTTCTACACTATCTACAAACCTTCTTTGTTTCTGCAAAGACGTACTCCTCCACCTCTTTTGTCATGACATCCTCTGGCAGGGTCTTCAGTTTAGTTGATAGAAACTTGATGGCCCTTTCTCGCACTATATCCTCTCCCTGCAGGATCTGAGAGAAGAGTCCCCCAAGGGTTCCTGAATGACAAAAAAGAAAAATTTAAAAAAAAAATGTTGTGATATATATATGGAGTGTCCTTTCTGAATAAAGATTTAATACATGTGTTACAGCATGATATTACGCACAAGTAAATAAGTAAATATATTCTCAGGTAAATGTTTGCACTCCAATATCCCAGGGTTATAAGCAGAAAAAAAGCTGGCAGGGTGAACAACGTCCATTTTAATAATTAAAACAGGCCTAGCTGCATTTCAGTTTTCCCCCAGGGGAAAGAGAAACTCACCCCTGGCATCCATTTTGAAGATAGAAATAAGTGCTGCATTCACTTGGTTAAACTCAGCCGTATCATCTGAAAGCACAAAAACGTCAATAAACATTAGCAGAGATAAACAATACTGGTGGGGTCTGAGTAGCTTTGTGAAATCTGAAAAATTGTTACCTGTCTGAAGAAGCTGAGTGAGAATATCTGCAACTCTGGGGATGTTGTCACCAGTTGCAAAGCGCGGGAGCTCTTTGATGGCCTGACGTCGGATCTGGTCAATGAAAAGTACACAGAAAAATAAATGAATAAAATAAAAATGAATATCGGGAACACATTCAGTCCCTGAAAGATCCCCAATATCAATCTGGAAACAGGCAAATCAAAATTTGTAGCTACTGTTGGAGGTATTTAGATTCATGGCTACATATGTTAGTTAATACTCACCGAAACATCCTCATCTTCACAGAGATCTAGTTGGGCATTAATAGCTGCATCTGCAAGTTCAGGAAAGCTGCTGAAGAACTTGGGAATAAACTGTGCTGCCAGACGCTTCTCCTTGGGGCCACCCTTCACACCATCCACTATTACCTGGTAGGCATCTTTGTGCTGCAGAATGATGGGACATCGCAGTCGTTACTTGGGACAATAAATATACCCCAAGGTTAAGTATAGATCGAGTTAAACTCTGGGGACATGGGGATTCGAGAAAAACTAAAGGTAAGAAATAAAGAAATAAAAATGGCATACATGTCGAAGGAGCACAGCATACTAGTTTTATGTCACTTTGTTGTTCTACTAACAAAAATCGGTTAACTGATTTTCAAAAGTAATTTAATGATGGGTCTGGAAGAAAAGAAAAAAAAAATCACAAAAAGTGATTACAGTTCTGTAGTTTTCAGTTTATTTGCAAAATGGGTTTGCTTATTTTTTTTAAGTTTACTTCACTTTCGGTAATCTTTTCAGCTTATTATATGAATAGTTATTACAATGAAATCACTTTGTAAAAAAATCTAGCTCACAGTCACAATAAACATATGCACCCGAGAAATATCCAACGTATTTTTTAAGATGTCAAAATGTTTAATAACGCTTTCATTTAGCTTTTTTTAATTTCTAAAACCTGAGCTTTATCATGGTTTCTGTATATGACCAAAATGTCCACGTATAGGATAACATCCTAAATGAGATAGATCGCGGTGAAATTTGAATAAAACTATCGCCGCTTCCTATTTGTGGCCTAAGTGAAAAAGTGTTTTGCGAGTGGACAAGTTTAAAACTTCATCTTGAAAATAATGAATGTAGTAGTGAACTTGGTTTGGCTTATGGATCGCCACGGCGAAGCTATTAACATTAGCCCGGTCATTACTATAACTAGCTACAGTTAGCTTAGCACACACAAACAAATGTTATGTAAACCAGAAAAGTTATCAACGTTGAAAGTAAAAAAATACACTGCTGCAAGGCAACATGAATATGTTCAGTTTAAAACGTACAAGGTGATGTTTATTTACCTGACTGAGGTTGTCCTTGGCATCAGCAAGGATCCCGTAGCTACGATAGAGATCCTCAATTGTGACCGCCATCAGCGTGATTTCAAGCGACTGCTACTCACAGATAAGACCTCTGAAAAATCCACAAAGTAAAACCCGTCGCAGGTTGCTTTTGCTCCGCGCCGGACGACTGCGAAACAAACAACGCCGTAATGTGGAAAGCTACCTTGTCAGGAAACGGGACGGAAAGATGAAATTTCAAGAAGCCCGTGAATGAATACCCCCTACTGCCTGTCTTCTTCGCGCTACTCTCTGGCGTGCTGGCTAAAAAAGCTACGGAATACCGAGTGCAGCGCATGCGCGGGTTTGGCCAATCGCATAGCGTCAGCAGGCACGTGACACGAGTGTGCGCCAAATCGATGCGCAGTTAAACTACTCATGACAAGAAGTTGTGTGGTCTGTGGCCCTAAACTAAGCGTAAACAGATAATACATTAACTAATAAGTATGGGTAAAGTAATACTATTTTTATTGGTATAATGCCCCTTATATATACATATTTTTTTGTTTTACACTGCTTGTATAGGCAGTGTAAACACGTTTATGTTTCTTTTAAAAATATATATTTCTAATCAGCCACACAAAAATTCTAGTTGCACAAAAGGAAGGAGGCAGTGGTTTAAGGCTGAATCGGTTTGTAGCATGTATTTGTATATGCCCACATGGCAAAGTTACAGGTCTTAATTTAGTCTTTGGAAATAAAGACCTAGATTCATAGAGCTTTCTTTGTCCATCCGTAGCTAGTTTTGTGGCATACTCAAGGTCAGGTCTGTTGACCAGTTGTTTCATTTCTCACTAATGTAATGATAAGAAAACACAGATAACAACAGAAAGTCAGTGCAAATAGTTTTATTGAACTAAACTGGTTGCAACAATTATGTACAAGCAATTATCTGTCAGGAAAGAAATGCAGTTTTATAAGAATCTGATTCCCGCTCCAAACTGGACCCCGTCACATATCCTGCAAAGACAATAAAGAATCATTGAAATGTAATTGAAAGACAATTATTAGCTTATTTCTGTTGCACATCAACAACTGCAATGTAATACAGATTTTTTTTTTAAGTAATCCATTTCTTAATTTTCCCATAGCAATGTTCTGACACTGTTTCATACTTGCCAAACTTAGAGTAATAAGTTCTTTAGTGTCACATTTAAACAGATCTGTAATGTACAGTAAATTAATTATTGACGTTAAAGAAACCACCACTATACTTAATTTGATTGCGGTCAGTTAGAATGTGTTGTTCTTTTCAGACTAAAATTCATCATTCATCATCTATTTACAGTGATTCTATTGGCCTAATATTTCTTTAAAGAAACCGTAAATAAGTCCCAATAAGCTTATCTTAGACTAGCTGATAAAATTAGCATTACCTGTCTCCACTTTGGACTCCCATGGGAATGCAGTAATTCAGCTCAAGCCTGGCAATGTTCCCCAAGCGCAGCACAATGCCCAGTCCATATGACCAACGTATACATTCAGCCAGTTTCTTCAAATGTGCTTGTGGCCCCTCACCTGAACAAAAAATGTACATATGAACCCAACCATATAGGCAAATGCATGTATTCATAATCTGAGCAGTACTTGTCCTAACAACATAAAATCCTAATCCGGTCTTGGTAAAAAATAAGCATAAGAGAGAGATAAGATAAGATAAACCTTTATTAGTCCCACACGTGGAAATTTGTTGCAGAAAGTGGACAGTGCAAAGTTACAGTAGCAAAAATTAAGAAAAACAATGGAATAGGATAGGATAATAAGAATAAGATACTATATACAATAGAATAAAACACTACGTTGTCAGAAGAATTACACATAGTGCTCATCTGTTTTAAAAGCTCACCATAGTTGAGGTTACAAAGGTTCCCGGCATTGAGGAAGAAGTGGGTTCGGAAGAGGTCACCAAAGCCTCCCATGCCTGGTCTGAAGGGTAGAGGAGTGTAGAGGTGGAGGCCTCCAGCCCAGTAGGCTTCTCCCCCCAGGTAGTCACCTGCCATACCAGTAAAGTCAGCACATAACCTTTCAATTAATCATCAAACTTCATTCTGGTTACCAAGCAGCTTATCTGAGGTAATGCCTCACCTTCACTCTGTGGGCCCATACTGTACATACTGAAACCCCTGATACTGGTGGGGCCACCAAGATAGAACCTAGAATATCAACAAAGTACAAAACACACAACAAATTTAAATTAAACTGAACTTTATATGTCTTTCGCTACAGCAATTGGAACAGGCTCCAGCCCACCCGCAACCCTGAACTGGATAAGTGGAAAAAAACGATTGATGGATGGTTTTGGGGATAAGACTAGACAGTTTAAATTTTTGAGCCACACCGGAGTCAGACAGTCATTAAGGGAGGCAGATAAATCTGCTTTGAATTAGTAGAAAAAGATGCTATTTGTAACTACAGACACCGCCCAAGTTTCCCATTATAAAAAGTGGTCTTTTAAAGATTTAAATGCTAACCATTATAGATGTTGGACAGCAACATCACTTTCAACAGCCTAATTTACAAAGCTCTAGGACCATCAAACCTCTGGTTAGTAATGCCAGTGTGCTGTGAGTTTTTACCTGTCTGCTATACTTGTCGGCTTATCACCAATGGGTAGAAGCAAACCACCCCACAATGAGGCAGAAAGGACCTGAGGGAAACATTCAGTGTTTAGTCAAGCTGAATCAGCAAAAAGAGGCCAGCTGTTAACAGGCCATTTTTTCATTACTTTATTATTGGACATCAATAATCATTAATCATATATAGTCAATGAATTGGCTAGTAAAGCTATCTAATCAGCATAACAGCCTTTTTAACACGCTAATTTTAGGGAAGATTTTGTGGCAACTGACTGAAATGTAAAATGAAAAATCTCACTGAGTCCCAGAAGAGTGTTTTGTTGAGCTGGATCTCAAAGTCTTCCTTTAAGAAACTGGCATCTCCCCCAGTGTAACCAGCAAGTTCCTACACAACCACCAAACAAAATGTCAAACTTGTGTATGATAATAGTCACTAACTTTCTACATAGCATTTAAAATACATCTAATTTAGTGGTGAACAACAAACCTGATGGATCTTCAACAGACCACCCTTCCTGGGAAGGATGGAGGAGTTTCTGGTGTCAATCACCATACCATGCTGCAATTCAAAACATCATATTTGCAGGTTTATTTCCATGGAGCCTTTGAGAAAATTCAGGCTTTTTCCAGTTTTCAAAATAAGCATTTAACTTCACTGTAACTTCACTGTAAAACAAATAAATTTAAATTTAAAAACAAAAAACAAACAGAGAAATACCGAGAGTGAGGACTTCAGAGAATGGCCGCTCTCCTCCCGTATAGGAAAAGAGGCAGTGCGGGCCAGACAGCCAAGCTCTCTCCATACTCCTTCCCACTTCAGAGTTTGGCTGGTCTTCCACACAGGAAACTATGGGTATTGATAATCAGATGTCATTTAATAACTGTTGTTTGTATAGAATTCAATTCTGTATAACCACAGTCTATACATAAAAGATGGCCAATTTGATATCAGCGATTGATTAATGAAAACCCATTGTGAAAGCATTTTTAGTGTTGATTCCTGATTGTTTAGAAACTGGATGAAATGAACGATGGGTGGATCTGATTGAGAAACAAAAGAACAATGACGTCTGAAACGGTAACGACTGTCAATCACGCGATGACTGAGACACACCCTAAAGCAGTTAGTAGGGGCTGTAATTTACAAAATGAAAGTCTTGTTGTTTAAAATAAAGACTTCAAACATGTGACTGAGCCTTTGAATTTATCAGGAAATTGTTTACCGAGTGAGCTAAATGGCCCTTTTTCCACTTCTACACAATCTAATCAAACTTCTTTTGGCAAGCAGAGGAGACGCCTGCTACTGGTGATCAGGTTTATGGCTCTTCAGATTTAGCTTGACTTTCCAGAGTTTCCAGAAGCTACATTCATTTTTAGTGCTGTCAATAGATTAAAAAAATTAACTAATTAAGCTCACAATTTTCTGTAATTAATCGTGATTAATCGCAATTACTTGATTGATAATTAATTACACTTTTTCAACTTTATATTTAAGCTTGTAACAGACATTTATGCAATATAATGAAGTCAATGGGGAATAAACACAAAGAATGTATGCTTACACTCAAAGAGAATTTTAATAGTTTTCTTTTAGCACAGGTTCGGTCCTGTGAAATACAATTTTTAAAAAACCTACAAAAAACCTGTACTAATATAAGATACACAGACACAGACACACACACACACACACAACACACCACACACCCACAACACACCACACACACACACACACACACACACACACACAACAACCATGTTCTCAATGAACCCAAAAAACTCATTAATATCAAAGCTGAATGTTTTTGGAAAGTTTAGTGTTTTTAGTTTTAGCTATTTTAGGGGGATATCTGTGTGTGCAGGTGACTATTACTGTGCATAATTATTAGGCAACTTAACAAAAAACAAATATATACCCATTTCAATTATTTATTTTTACCAGTGAAACCAATATAACATCTCCACATTCACAAATATACATTTCTGACATTCAAAAACAAAACAAAAACAAATCAGCGACCAATATAGCCACCTTTCTTTGCAAGGACACTCAAAAGCCTGCCATCCATGGATTCTGTCAGTGTTTTGATCTGTTCACCATCAACATTGCGTGCAGCAGCAACCACAGCCTCCCAGACACTGTTCAGAGAGGTGTACTGTTTTCCCTCCTTGTAAATCTCACATTTGATGATGGACCACAGGTTCTCAATGGGGTTCAGATCAGGTGAACAAGGAGGCCATGTCATTAGTTTTTCTTCTTTTATACCCTTTCTTGCCAGCCAGCTGTGGAGTACTTGGACGCGTGTGATGGAGCATTGTCCTGCATGAAAATCATGTTTTTCTTGAAGGATGCAGACTTCTTCCTGTACCACTGCTTGAAGAAGGTGTCTTCCAGAAACTGGCAGTAGGACTGGGAGTTGAGCTTGACTCCATCCTCAACCCGAAAAGGCCCCACAAGCTCATCTTTGATGATACCAGCCCAAACCAGTACTCCACCTCCACCTTGCTGGCGTCTGAGTCGGACTGGAGCTCTCTGCCCTTTACCAATCCAGCCACGGGCCCATCCATCTGGCCCATCAAGACTCACTCTCATTTCATCAGTCCATAAAACCTTAGAAAAACCAGTCTTGAGATATTTCTTGGCCCAGTCTTGACGTTTCAGCTTGTGTGTCTTGTTCAGTGGTGGTCGTCTTTCAGCCTTTCTTACCTTGGCCATGTCTCTGAGTATTGCACACCTTGTGCTTTTGGGCACTCCAGTGATGTTGCAGCTCTGAAATATGGCCAAACTGGTGGCAAGTGGCATCTTGGCAGCTGCACGCTTGACTTTTCTCAGTTCATGGGCAGTTATTTTGCGCCTTGGTTTTTCCACACGCTTCTTGCGACCCTGTTGACTATTTTGAATGAAACGCTTGATTGTTCGATGATCACGCTTCAGAAGCTTTGCAATTTTGAGACTGCTGCATCCCTCTGCAAGATATCTCACTATTTTTGACTTTTCTGAGCCTGTCAAGTCCTTCTTTTGACCCATTTTGCCAAAGGAAAGGACGTTGCCTAATAATTATGCACACCTGATATAGGGTGTTGATGTCATTAGACCACACCCCTTCTCATTACAGAGATGCACATCACCTAATATGCTTAATTGGTAGTAGGCTTTCGAGCCTATACAGCTTGGAGTAAGACAACATGCATGAAGAGGATGATGTGGACAAAATACTCATTTGCCTAATAATTCTGCACTCCCTGTATATATATATATATATCTCATTCATTTCTAATCTATATTAATTCCAATTCATTTTGCATGAGCAAACAGACTCGGAAAAAAAGGTAAAATATATGCACTTAACATGTTTATGAACATCTTGAACATTCATGTTAACAAAAAACATTTATCCACTCTCTCTCTGTCACGCTTGGGGAGGCACTTCAAGTCCTTGAAACGAGGAACCAAAGCTATGTAAAGCGTGTTCTCAACGATATTAATAGGTCTGCAGTTTGTTGCAATCCACTTGGCAATTGTGTCAGTCAATATGTCCGAGGTAGACTTACTGAGTCCCCGATGCTCCGTGAGTGGTTTGTCGCAAGCTGGGTGACGTGTTAGCCAAAGTCCTAGCAGCATCCCTGACTAGAGTATGCTTCGCGTCAATGTGATATTTTAAGCTGCAAGTGCTTCAGTGAAAAGAAAATTCCTTCTTGCACAATGTGATTGGTTCAGCTGCCCGTCACTACCAGATCTACTGCCCATTTGCGCGTGTGCGAATGTAACTACTTGGACAAACTGCTAGAAATGTGTGGACAGAAACATTTCAGGAATTTTGAGTCATTCTGCCCTCCATACTCCAGATGCGTTAATAGCATTAAAAATTTTTTATCGTGTTAATCGTGATGGCGGCTTAATCTACGTTAACGCGTTAATTTTGACAGCACTAGTTTTTATATATGTCTATATTTATAATATGGCAGTTTCCTTACAAGTAATAAAGAATAATGATTAAATAAAGGCCTATGAAATGCTAGAGACAACATATTATCCAAGATATATATATATTTATTTTAGATTATGCAAGAAAAGTCCAAACTATGTCTTTGGAGCAATACTGCAACTCAGAAATGAACTTTATGGCTCTTAAAACATTCTTATACTTTCTGGTATTTTTTCTTAAACTCATCTAATTTGAAATTTTACTCAAATGTGTTAATTCATCAAAACCATGTTCAAGAATGTTCCAGTTTAAATAGGTTTAGTTGTACAAAACAGAAATAGGCAGGTATTTACGCTCAGTTCTGCAGATACGCCTCGATCCGTCTCCCGCAGTGAACTCCATGGAAACTGACCTGTGACTTTGTAGACATTCAAAGTGATACTGAAAGTGATATGAAAAGTGGAAAACATCAGTACAATAATGCTTTGCAATTACAAAATACACCCACTGAAAGTTACGGCAAAGAGTGCTCAAACATTTACCTACTTAATCCTCAATGTCAACAACAGCATAGTGAGGGTACTTACAGCAAGTAGAGAAACACGTATAACATTATGATTTAATACATTTTAAAATATTAAATTTTCTAGACTGAAAAAATGTAAATTCTACTGTTTAACTTGTTTCTACATTGATATTGGGTGACTCAATACAGGTAATGCCTATGTGCACATCATTTTCATGTCTTACTTGCGTTCAAAGTTTCCTGGTTGGGGTTTGAAGAAAGACAGACCGTATGATGTCTCTTTGGTACCATAGGAGAACTGGAATGTCAGTTTTTCTGCCCGACCCAATACATTGGGTAATTTTAGGCCTAGTACCTGAAATGAAGGAGAATCAACAAACTGATCAG